CACATCACTTGTTCCATATATTAAAATCTTACAGCCTAATTCCATAATGGATTAACTTCATTTTCACTTTCACCTCATTCTAGATACAATACCCCATAAGGACAAAGTGAAAAAAAGTTGTTTGAAATTCCTTGAAAATGTATACAAATCCAAAATATACCACACACATAAGTATAGAAACATTCACGGACTTTGCTACTCAAAATTTGAGCTCAGGTGAATCCTGTTTCTACCAATCATCTGTCAGATGTTTCTACAACTTGGAGTCCTGCTGTTGTAAATTGGCTAGGCAATTGTAATTCATTGTTATAATTATTATCAGGCTGTCCTACTCCCTGAAAAACCTTCAGTTGATTCAGAATGCTGCATAGAGAGAGAAATGTCTTCCTTCTCTCTTCCCAACGGTCAAGATGACTGCCCCTCCATGAGCCTGGTTCTGCTGGAGGTTTCTTCCTGTTAAAAGGGAGTTTTTCCTTCCCGCTGTCGCCAAAGTGCTTGCTCATAGGGGGTCAGTTGATTGTTGCGGGTTCTCTGTCTGTTTGTTTTTTTATTGCAGGGTTTACCTTACAACGTAAAGCTCACTGAGGGAACTGTTCTTCTGATTTGGTGCTATACAAATAAAATTGAATTGAATTGCAAAGATGGGAAAATGGCTGTGCACTGATGCTCCCCATCCAACCCGATGGTGCTTGGGAGGTTCTGCAAGAGGAAACTGTCCAAAAATAGGTGTACCAAGTTTGTAGCGTCATACTCAAGACTTAAGGCTGTAATTGCTGCCAAATATGCTTCACTAAAATAACAAGGCTACATGTACATGTTATATATAAATTTTTATATAATTTTTTTATTTTTATTAAACTTACAAGAATTTCTAGCAAACTTTTTTTTCAGTTTGTCATTATAAGGTATTATGTCTAGAATTTTGATGTGAAAAATTAATGTCATTCATTTTTGAATATGACAAAATGTTGAACAAGTGAAGCGCTGTGAATACTTTCCGGATGCACCTTAGTTACTCCTACTAGTGTGAGTAATTATTTTTATGTGTTATGTGTGTGTGTTGTCTGCAGAAGTAGCAAAAGTACAGAATTTACTTATCTAAGTATAAGTAAAGAGGTTGAAAGATTGAAGTACTGAAGCAACTTTTTTACTCAAGTCAAAGTGAAAAAGTGCAGGCTCTGGAATGTACTCCAAGTAAGAAAGTAAAAAGTAGCTCCTTGAAGACTATTTTTGTACAAAGGTAAATGAATCTTGTGCTATATTCATATAATAATAAAATAATATTAATACATGACAATAAAAAATTCAGAATGGGCTTTAGTTACAAGGAAGGAAATGATTTCTCTTTTGGCACATAAACATAGTGTGGTAAGAGGATGCATGTGGTCAGACTGAAAAACACACAAACAGGGAAGAGTGGATTGCTACAAAACAAAATATGGACAGATGGTAATGAACAGATTACACCATCGTGCAATAAAGAGAATGTGTGTTCGATCACAAAACAGCCGATCAATTAGTTTCACCAAGTTTGTTTCTACACGAGTCATTTTGTAGAGGGTATGGCAGCATTGACAGTTTGTCTTAAAACAATAACTGTAATGTGCACATTTTGGCTTTTTTCTCAAAATAGTATTATGACTGTTTTCTTGAAATAAAATTACAACTTTATTCTCAATTTTTTTTCTTAATGTGGCCCTAATACACATTTGTAAAACTGTCACAGAACAGAATAAACAGAACAAGAATGTCTGTCTATTCTTGGGTTTTTAGTGAAGCCTAAACTTGAATGAATTTGTAGAATGAAGGTGAATAAAGCTCTGCCTTTAGCCTGTGTGACAGCAGGGTTTGAATGCAGACATGCAGTAAAATGATAGGAAGCACAGTAGATAAATCCTTTATATTTTTAACGGTGTCAGCCCTGTTTTCACGTTGCTGTCTGTGATTAGATCTGGGCTCTTGACAAGATGACAGTGGAGAGAGCGTCAGCAGAGAGAAGCAGCTGTCTGAAGAGGATCGAGCAACGGGCCCTGCAGGAACGACGTGAAGCAGAAAAGAGACAGGTAACACTGTCAGGATACCTCTGACTGTGGAACTCTGACTGCTCTGTGTATGAAGCCATGACAGAATGATGTTTGTTGTGTGTGAAGTTTGTTCATGAAGAAAAAGGAAATTTAACACATAACAGACCTTTTACTGTAATCTCCAGATCAAACAAAGGCAATAGAAAATGTTAACTGGGGTCTGCATAACATTGGGACACAACAAGCTATCGAAATTGGGCATCATCATTGAGTGCTGTGATAAAGTGTTTGCCCCCATCCTAATTTTCTATTTTTTTGTATGTTTGTCATACTTAAATGTTTTAGATTAACAAAAACTTCAAATATTAAGCAAAGATAACACAAGTACACGCAAAATGCAGTTTCTAAATGAAGGTGTTTATAATTAAGAAAATAAATTAACTGTGGTGTATCACATCTTTGGAATGCTGAGTTCAATTTCTCTAGTCACACCGAGGCCTGATTACTGCCACGCCTGTTCGGAATCACTTAAATAGGACCTGCCTGACAAAGGGAAGTAGACCAAAAGATCCTCAAAAGCCAGACATCATCCTGCGATCCAAGGAAATTCAGGAAAAAATGACAAACAAAGTAATTGAGATCTTTCAGTCCGGTCCAGTCCAAAGGTTATAGCAGCAACAACTCATCCAACAGGTCTCAAAAGACTCCAGAATAACATCTAAAGATTGCAGGCCTCACTTGCCTCAGTTAAGGTCAGTGTTCATGACTCCACCATAAGAAAGAGACTGAGCAAAAATGGCCTGTATGGCAGGCTAAGAGTTCCAAGACGAAAACCACTGCTGAGCAAAAAGAAAATAAAGGTTCATTTCAGTTTTGCCAGAAAACATCTTGATGATCCCCAAGACTTTTGGGAAAATACTCTGTGGACGGATGAGATAAAAGCTGAACCTTTAGGAAGGTGTGTGTCCCATTACAGCTGACGTAAAAGTAACACAGTATTTCAGAAAAGGAGTACCAGCAGTAAACATATTGGTGTTAGTGTGGTGGTCTGGGGCTGTTTTGCTGCCTCAGGACTGGGAAGTCTTGCTGAGGTGAATGGAACCAGGAATTCTGCTGTATACCAAAAGCTCTGAAGCAGAATATATGGCCATCTAACCCTAACCCTATTCTACACCACTGTATAGAGGGGATTTTATTGTAGTTAAGGACCGTACAATAATACAGAGAAAACTGCAACAATCAGATGGACAAATGCTCGGTGACAGTGCCCTTCAGCAAAACCAGGCTGAGGGAGGGGCATTCATCTGCTGTGACTAATTGAGGGTGAGAAGAGGACAAAAGACATGTTGTGCAAGAAAGCCAGAGAATAATAACTAATTATTACGTGTAAACACACAGGTAAGTGAAGAAGCACCCAGTGCATCATGGGAAACTGTAGCAGCCTAGACCTATTGCAGCATAACTAAGGGAGGATTTAAGGTCACCTGATCCAGCCCCAATTTTATGCTTTCCTCAAAAAGGAACGTTTATACCTATTGTTAGGCTTCCACAAAAGAGGGGCTCTGCCTCCCATTCTACTTTTAAATATCCTAGATACCCCAAGTAAACCGGCGTCTGGGAGTGAAGTGCTCTATTGGTATGTTTCACAGGGTAACCAATGCCCTCATGGCAATTGTTATAGTTTTATTACATCTAGCCAACAAAATAGAATAGTTGTTTTAATTGTGAATGTGAAGCTATTGGTGCTGTGGTCCATTCCTTTAAGTCATAAGTATGTGAAGTAGAATAGATGTTACGGTAATTTTTCTAAGCATTTCTTAAGTTGTCATGATTTTCATACTAATAATTACACAGTGGGCCCAAACATTGAATTGAATTGAATTGAATTAAAATAACAGTATTGCAAACGCTCACAATTATAGATCACATTCTATGAACCTATAAACTGGATGTGGATGCTGTTGAAGGCAGAGGAATATCTTGCCGTGTAATTACATTAGCACATTCCACCCAGAGTCATTTCACTGCCTCATTCGCACTCAGCTGGCTGTGGAACCCCAGAACATAAAATAGTCAGATGTTCTCGATATATTACGTATAAAATTTCCTCAACTGCATCATGTTCACGCGAGCTGAATCTGGAGAAGGTCTATCCAAAGAGATTCCAGGGCTTCTCTTATAGCTTGATGCTGTACAAAGAGGCACTGTAATATTAATAGGGTGCAATTCTGTCTGGTCAGTAATATATGCTTCAGTACGTCTATTGACTCCTGCAGCTAGCATTATCATTCTTTTTCTGTACTGCTGGTCCACAGTATGCTGAAGTGCCCATATATCTGCAAGCAGGGGGACCTGATCAGTTGACCTGTGCACAATTAATTAAACTGAACTGTACACAACTTTTCAATCTCTGCAGGTGATCTTATACGGGACTAATGTGCTGCATCAGGTGGATGTCAGGATATAATGATGAATAGATGAACTCCATTAAAGATTACATCATTGTTTTCTTTTAATCTACTTTTAGGACAGTGTATGCACTAAATGAATGGGAGCTGATCTAATGAGCTCTTCTGTCATTAATAGAACTCTTGTGTGTGGTTCATTGTGTCCCCTAAGCAGGCAGCTCTGGCCAGTGAACTGAAGAGCTGGTGTCTGTCCAAACTGCAGAACATGGAGGGCCGTGTCACAGGAGAGCCCAGCAGCACCAAGTTACAGCACTCCTCTACTGTGGCCGAAGCTAATGTAGCACCCTTCGCTGTGGTGCCCATTGGACAAGGGGGCAGCTCCCAGTGCCTTGAGCACCACAGTGACCCTCCACTCCTGGAGTTCAGCCGGGAAGAGTCCAGTGTGGCAGAGGGTGGCACAGCCAGTCACTACTTTGTTGTTCATGTGGAGAGCTCTCCAGGTAACAAATCAGCATAAACAAAGATGCTTTGTTTTGTTTAAAAGAAAAAAGAAAAAAGAAGAAGCTTCAAATCAAATTTAAAACAGCAACCCTGTAAATTAATAAAATGAATCCAATGAAACCTAATTTTTTTTGTTCTGAGCTGATAGGAGTGATAACTGGTGTGGTCTTCTGCTGTAGTTCAGCTGCTTCAAGGTTCCACATGTTATGTGTACACTGTTCAGTAATGCTCTTCTGAATACCTTGGTTGTAATGAGTTACTGTTTCAGGAACTCAGTTTGCCCATTCTCAACCAGGCATTTGTGCCTAGAGAACTGCTCACAAAATAGTTTTCCACATTTTTCTGTGTATGGTTGTGTGGGAAAATCCCAGTAACCCAGCAGTTTCTGAAAAATTCAGAACAGCTGGTCATCAAAGTCTGTCTTGATAATGTCTAAATGCTAAGTGGCCAGTGATATGCAAAAGAA